AATCAGTCCAACTCCTAGGCAGGATGCAACACAAGCTTAAAAATAAAGGGTTCAGCCGGGCATTGTGGCACATGCCTTTAATCCCAGCACTCTGGAGGCAGAGGCAGGTAGATCTCTGTGAGTTCAAGGCCAGCCTGGTCTACATAGTGAGTTCCAGGACAGCTGGGGCTACAGGGAGACCCTGTCTCAAAAAGACCAAAAAAATAAAATAAAATAAAATAAAGGGTTCAATGACAGTACCACCACCAAGTAAATATAAATATTTGTTGAATTAAATTATTAAATTTAATTAATAAATTGTTGAGGATTGTAGACATTTAAATAATTAAATGATTATTAATAATCATATGATCAAATGATCATTAATAATTGAAATTAATAAATAATGTTGAGGACTGTAGATATTTGGGAGGCATTTGAGCCCTGAAAATCCTTATAATTTTTTTTCCATCTGCTGTAAGAAAAATCAGCACCAGCAGAGGAACCCCTCAACATCACAATTTTTTTTTTTTTTTTTGTCTTTTTGAGACAGGGTCTCCCTTTAGCCCCAGCTGTCCTGGAGCTCACTATGTAGACCAGGCTGGCCTTGAACTCACAAAGATCAGCCTGCCTCTGCCTCCCAAGTACTGGGATTAAAGGCATGCGCCACCACGCCCGGCAATTTTAAAAAGGAATTGTTGAGACTTAAGAGGTTATAAGACAACCACTCCTTGACAAATACTCTGTGACCCTGGACAAGTCCTGGATCCTGTGTGCCCCTCAACTTGTTCACCCCTCAAGTGGGAATAGGAGAAGCAGTTATGAGTAATTGCTTAAAAAAAAAAAAGCCTGCGGTAGCATTGATAATAATCATTTTCCCAGAGCCTGGTTTACATTTCTCCATTAACATTCCAAGGCCCAACTCTCAAGTTCAAAATATGCCACAGGGATTTGATCTCCAACCAAAAGAGCTGAGATTTGGGGAATCACTGGAACCAACCTCATGAAGCACTCGCCAGCTCTCTAAAACGACCAAAGAAATCAGAATGCATGTCCACACCTCATTTAACTTTTCACTGGTATGACATCCAGTCTTTGTGATAAATGCACCCAAGGACACCACCCCAAAGAACTTGTTTTTCATGGACCCACCAGAGGATAAAATGTTCTCAATGCCACCTCCTAAGATAATCACCCAGTCCCAAATGCCCCTTTTAATTAGTTGACTGTCCCCTGGGTGTGACTGCATGAGTTTATCCAGGGTGTGTAAGTAAGATACAACAGTCTTCCTGATTTCTGAGAATCCTGGCAAGGACAGCGATGTAAAAAGTAGACTGAAATTGTGTTGAAACACTAACATGACACTGAAACTTTGCAAAAATGGATCTTCTACATAGATTGACCTCTATGGCCCCTGTCAGCTCTAAAGCCCATAGCCAGACACCGAAGTTCTCAGACAGATTCAATAGAGCCATTCTGTCTGAAGAGTTGAACTACAGATTTTACTAGAATAATTAAAAGTCCTAAGTTGTAAGATGTTCGACTATCTATACTCACTTACCCCAAATGAGTATGCAAAAAATGTAAGACAATTCTAAATATAAGTAACATCATTAAAATATAAGTAATAAACACCATAGGTTTGTTTATCAGAGGCTCATCTGAAAACCCTTAGGGTAAGGTGTTGCATCCTTGTGCTTATAGAGCAAGTTACCCATTTTCACTAAACATTCCTCAAATTTAGAAACTTTGCTATTTCTAAAGTTTGAAACTTAAAAGCAAAGCCTTCAAAAACAACAGTGCTAATAGCTCTACAGTCTAATCTACCATGCAAAGTCAGTTTTGTTCAAGCGACTTTTGATCAATAAACATTAATCACTACTCAAAAAAGACAGCAGCGTATTCTAGAAGTACATAACATTTATGAAATCATAAAGTGTACCTCATTTAGAGAACCTTTCAATCACTGACACCATGTTAGTATTTGAGAGATGACTACTGATTTCTAACTGGTAATATATTTTTATTCTGTTGTGGGTATTACTGTTATCAGATTTGAAGACCTACCTGTCATCTGCACAACTATGTCTAAACATATTCTATACAACAACAACAACTGGTGTGAAGAGCAAACTTCGTATAAATGGAGGCTTTCTTTAGGCCTGGGTTGGCTTTTTTTTTTTTTTTTTTAATTATAAACTTTCCTTCCATTTGGCTTATAAGAGGATTCCCTTTCTCGGCATCTGTTAAAGTGATTTAGGGAAACAAAAACATTTAGAGACTACTTTCTAAGAGCAAAATTATTTTGTTTATAATAAGAGCCTTTCAAAATACACAATAGATATTTGACCGGTGAGTATTCCACCAAGGTTAGAGTGTTTAGTAATGATTTACTGTGGGGTGATTATCTGCCTAATGAAAAAGATTTCCATTTCTCTGTTTACTTAATACATACTTTTCTGCCTGAGGAAATTAGGTATCATACACTGACACTTGGATTACTAAATCTAGCAACATAGACTACTTAATTAGGTAGAGGTTTTCTAAATGTGGCTTTTGTTTCATTTCTAGTCTGTGCATTTATTGTTTATCCTAGTAAGTCAATTGTGAGGAAAATTGTAATCTTTGTTTTCATTATTGTGCCTAGTAAAGTTCACTTCTGTTGCGATTATTTAAGTCGTAGGCCAACAAACTAAAGGATGAGAAAATTCAGGGACTTTAGTTCCAATATAAACTTTTTACTTGATTTGAACTTCTTTCTTATGCATTGGTTCTAACAGAAGTGCTAAACATTTGTCTCTACCCTAAGAAATAAGTTACTGTTTCATCAGAGATAACAACTTACTATCATTATTTTTAATTAAATTTTAAAAAGGTTATACTTAACCAATCTAATATTTTTGATCCTCCATTTATTTAACTGTTAAAAAGTACAAAAAAGTTTTAAAAGTATGAAACCTATGGAAAGTCACTAATGTGGTTCCCAAGATCTAATACATGTAAGGCTTTCCTGATCACTGTAAACCCACTGAAGGTTTATGATCTGAAAATATGAACTAGTGTAGCCAGTTGTTACGAGTTTAATTCTACTAGCAAATGCTACTTTCTATATTTTAAGTCTCAACTAAACCAAAATCAGGATATATTTTGAAAGGATCAATCTAAAGGGAAAAAAGCCTGAACAAACAAGACAAGAAAACCATTGCCAACAACCACTTCTGCCACAAACAGTCAGGGAACCTCTAGACAAGACTAGCCTGCAATGTATGTCAATTCACTGTTAACACTCACAAAACTACCTAAGAATCACTGCATTTTTCCTCTGTTTTATCTCCCACAGAAGGTTCAATAAATAAATCACAGAACTTACTCAGCCTGGACTGACTAGATGACAATTTTCTGAGTGTTTTTTCTTCTCTCTCTTTTTCTGGCATGATTTCTCATATGACCCAATTCTATGACTCCTATAAGCCAGAAAAAGCTGCCTTCAAATTACAGCAAAGCCACTGAATTTCATCAGACATTGGGCTACCTTAGGTCCTCAGGAACTGGGTTTTCCACCTAGGAACTTCTCTCCTAGGCAAGTGACTAAGCAGGGTGCATTAAGATCTGCCATGAAAAACGAATCATCAGTGGATCTGCATTATTCTGCATATAAATATTCTTAAAAGAAGACTCAGCCTCCTTCTAACCCAACGCATTTGATATTCAGCTAAGGTGCCATATGCACAAATCTAAAAGTGCCAGCATCAAGGATAGCTATCTTGTTTCTAAAATCTCTTATTTGTATTTTATTTCATTTGTTTCTTGGTTTGCAAAATTCAGTATTACAAGACTTCTTATGGGATCTCAGGCCTGATTCTTCCTTGCAGACAAAATGTGTAGTATTCATTTTATAACCAAATACATGTAGGAACACCTTGCTTTTTGGAAGAACTTCACTGTATGTATTTATTATATATTTGGTGACTGACCTAGCAGGACTATCAGTGGAACCAAGAGAGACTATAAGATTCTAAGCATTATATTTAGCAGATTCCACAAAATTATGGGGATATAATAATTATGTTCCCAGAAAAGTCTTTCAGAACCAGTGCCGGCACATCACTTCTCGATGTAAATAAAATTTAATTAACTTAATTCATGCCAGCCGTACAGCAAACAGAACCTCAAAGGTTCCTCTGGTTTGGAAGCACTAAATGTTCACCTTTAATGAAAAACACGGACAATAACTTATTTGAAAAACATTGTTTCACCTATTTTTCAGCTACACCCTCGTTTTCAGATCCTGAACCCCGGACCACAAGGTACTCTGAAACTTGGAGTGCCTCTTACTGCGTTAGTGTTCTTAATGCCTTTGGGTTTGTTTCTTCACAAATGTACTTTTTCAATACACTCGTTAAATTCTATTTCCCTTTCCTATTGATCTAGCTTTTGTAGAAAGAGAAGTGCGGGTTTGAGGAATATTGTTTACTGTTACTATTGTTGATTTTAGTCACTAAGACAAACCGGTTGATCCCCTCAGCTCCTATCAAAAACGCGACATAATTCAAAAGCATTCCTTTGAAGGAGATTCTTTTAAGCAAAGTTCTATGAATTCAAGATTTTGTTGTGAACCCCAGGAAACAGATTTACTTGTAAAATTACAAAGGAGACTGGTAGGAAGCGAGATCGGCAAGTTCAAGGTGAAGCTGACAAGCCCACTTCCTGAAACAACTTAGGCACCGAATCCAGATAAGTGTTGGAAATTTCTGACTGGAATCCCAGTGGTGTTGGAAAGAAGGAAGGTTCTCCTGGAGAAGGACAGCCGCGTGCAGAAGCGCCCCACTCCAAGGGTCGCGCTGCCTTCACTCATCTCCAATCCTGGGACCACCATTTGCGGGCCGGCCGGCTGCAGGCGCCTCTGAAAAGCCCACCGCTGGCGAGTGCATTCTCCTTGGACGGGACGCAGGGCAAGAATCCCTTGGTCCCTTCCTCTCGCCCTTGCGCTGGAAAGCTTAGCCCCCAGCGCGGCTTCTTACCGGTACAGGAATGCAGCGGCTTGGGGCGCACCACGAGCGACGGGCACACGGAGTACAGGGAAAGTTTCTCAAAGTAGTCGCAGGTCTCCTTGGAGAGGATCTCGTCGATCATAAAAGTCTTGTAGCGCCTCCTGGCTGCTTTGAGCTGGCCGGGTGAGCTCAGCCTCAGTTCCGCGTGGCAGTGCATGGCGAGCTGAGCGCCGGGCCGGCCGGGACCTCGGGGACTGTCTCGGGGGCTGGGGCCTGAGCCCCGCTCCTCGGCAGCCAGGGGGCGGCGGGGCCCGGGAGGCGCGCGGACCGGACCGGGCTCGGGCGCGCCTGCTGCGTCTACACCCACCCACCGAGCAGCATCTTTGACTGCAGCCTTTTTTGGGACAATGCAGCTGTCAATCAGCGTGCACTTCCTGCAGGGCCAGGTGCTGAGCGCGAGCCGAAGGGCGTCGGCCACCACCCCGCCCTTGCGCGCCTGTGCGTCGCGGCCGCTCTTCTAGCTGTCCTGCGCACCCCGGGCCCTGGCGCTCTAGCTCCCGACCGACCGTCGCTCGGTGGCTCGCACGCCGCAGTCTAGCTCTATTTTAAGACACTGGCTTCGCCTCCCCCAACTCCCTCCCGGTTCCAGGTGTGTGTGTGTGTGTGTGTGTGTGTGTGTGTGTGCAGGGGTGAGCGCGCGCGCGTGCGTGTGCACGCCGTGGAGCTGCGCGCGCCTCCTCCTCCTGCGGCCTTTTTGGACCTGCGTCCCCCGCGCGCATCTTAGAACCAGTCTTGCCATGGTCCGGCACCGCTCCAGGAACCCTGCGGAAGGCTAAGTCCCCTACTCTTGCCACAGATCAGTGGACTCCTCCTCCAGACTCCCGAGGCTGCGAGCCCCAGCACACTCCCCAGGACCACCGTGTCTTCTTCCCCGCGTGCGCCGGTTCCCAGGACCATGGCTTCCCCTCGCTCGGCCTGCAGCCCCAAGCCCACGCTGGACCCGTGTGCTCCCGGCGGGGACCGTTTGAGCAGAGGTCGTCATGTTGTCTGCCCCACCAGGATCCCAAACCAAAATGACCGAAGCATAGTCCGTTACCCCAATAATAAGCTAAAATGAAAAAAAAAAAAAAGTGTGTATTGTGCGTGTGTCTTTCAATACTATTTGACAAAGAGTTTTCTTCGCTGGAAAGGGCCAGAAGAGCGTGACCGCCGGGCGGCAGCGGCCTTTCCAGCTCTCAGCTGGGTTCCGGCTTTCATTGGGGGTATATGTGAAGATAGATGTGTGGGTGATGGTTTGCCTTCTTCCTTCTGGGTTCCTAATCTCAGAATGTCCCAGACAATATTTGTACGAACTTTTTTCATTCACGATACTTGCTGTCAGTGACACGCACCGCTGTCGGCAGGAACCTCCCGACAGCTGTGTCTCTGAATTGGTGCACGAGGGCTGGAGAGAAAACACACTACGGGGACACAGAATTATGGACAGGGACGTCCGATGAGGTCGTGGTACCCTGGAGGTGGCCGCGAGTCTCGGGGGCGTCCTACGGAGCTGCGCGCTCCGGCTTGGCTAACCGCAGAAACAAGTCCAGGCGCGCACCTGAGCCGGTGGTTAAACTCAGGAAGGGATAAACTTGTTGAACTAATAATTAAACACTTGGAGAAAATAGGTATTAATAAATCCAGTCATAACCTAGCGTTCGCCGTGGCCCGAAGCCCATATTTGAAGATCTGCGTTTCCCAAGTGTGTACCGATTCCCTTCGCTCCTCACCATTTAGAATATTTTTTTATTCTCCTCCAGGCAGAGGCGGCCCGCGAAAACTGTGTTTAGGTGGTCCAGAGGCGTCATGTCTCTAACTTTTGGCCCTGGACCCTGTCCCTGCGTGCTGCGGGGAATGGAGGCCGGGGACCTGTCCGGGTTCAGTCTGGGCGCTGCCGCCTGGCAGCAGAACTGTCACGTGGAGCTGAGCCCTGCTCGCAGAGCTGCGACGGTTCCCGGGCGCACATTTGCGGTGACGACAGTCTCGGAGAGCGCAATTTGGTCCCGCTCTGTAGCGAAGAAGCTAAGAGTTGGCGTGATCTGAGTCTCTCAGAGTTGACCGCGAGGCTGGTGCTCTGGGAGCTCAGCAACTGAGATGCTGGAGGGCCAAAGTCTGAGCCGGCCGCACATAGGCTGCCTGGCCGCGGCACTGGTGCATCGAAGGTCGGTGCACTGGGTCATCCTTTCGGGACTCTGTCTCTGTACAGCATCCCTTTCATTCAACTTCAACCCTCACCCCACCCCACCCTTCTCTTGCTAGCTCTTCTTTTCCCTCTCCTTCCCTTCTTCCACTGTTCCTCGCACTTTGGACCTCTCCATCCAATTTCCCCGCTTCTCGTTCCTCTCTCCTGCCCTTCTTTTTGTCATTCCCTACAGCCTGTCTTTGTTTCTTTTTCTTTCTTCCCTTCTCTCCTTCCTCCCCGCCCTCTCTTTCTCCAAATTTGCGTTAAAGTAGCGCTTGGGGCGGGTACCGCTAGAAACTCATCCGCCAAGGACAGAAAGCCTGACACTGCTCCTCAGGAGCAGAAATCACCCACCGACCTCTGACAGGTTTCCCCTTAGCGTCCTGCAGCCCTTCTACACCTCTTCTTCCACAGGGCCACAGACACTAAGTTCACCTAGACGCTTCCACAGATCTAATTTAAAATCTACGAAATTTCGATAGGCAAAGAAGGATTTTCCTTCTTTTCTATTTTCTTCTATAGAGGCAAGACATTTTAGAAGGGGGTCTGTGGGCACAGATTCCAGCGGGCAGTAGGATAAGCTCTGCTGGGTCTTTGGGCTATAGTTTATTCAGGGTCTCCCTGTATCCCCATTTAGCCTTAAATTCGTTAGGTAGACCAGGCTGGCCTGGATATCAGAGATCCTTCCGCCTTTGCCCCCCCCCCCAACACCCAGTGCTGGGATTAAAGGCCTGTACCACCATACCTGGGTTTTTGATTTGCAAATGATGATCATAATTCCTACTTCACAAGGTTGGCCTTTCAAAGCTCACACTTTTATAAAGCCTTGCCTTTAATTAGAGTACCCTATCACACACCCCCTACCCTCCCTCTTTCTCTGCCCAGAAAAACAAGGGGCCCATCTCCAATGTCACCTCCTCCATGAAGCCTTTCCCATCTAGCCTGTCCATTTCTGTTGCTGCCTCTATCCCAGCTTTTCCATTACTGTATTGTCCTTTGCATGTTTATTTCACCCACTAGACAATGAACTCCCTGTGAGCCATTTCTTTCTTTGGCATTATTCAACTTCTATTATCAATGCCCACATAGCACCCAGCACATGGTCCATTCTCAGTAAATGTGTTGTGAATAAATGAATTCATAAAGGTCCTGGAAACAAAATTATATAATGTGTTTGATGAGACATCAAATCTTAATTAGTTGTACTAAATTTATCTTTCTCTTTAAATGAGTCTCTCCTCTTTCCTTGATAATTTTGGACTTTGAGCAATGGCATCTAGCCCAATTCCCCTTTTTTTTCTCCCATTTCTCTCTTTTCATTCTCTCTCTGTGTCTCTCATAGATTATAAGGCACTTTTTAAAAAAATATTTTATTATTTTTATGTGTATTTGTGTATTGCCTGCATGCTGCAGAGGTCAGAAGAGGGCTTCAGATTCCCCTGGAATTGGAGTTAAGGATGGTTTGTAGCTACTATGTGGGTACTGGGAATCAAACCCTGGTCTTCTGCAAGAGCAGTCAGTACTCTTAACCGTGGAGCCATCTCTCCAGCCCCTAAGGCACTTCTATAGGCGGAAGCACACCCCAGCTTTGGTCAGAATAGTCAGGGGTTTTGTTTCCAACCTTAACGAAGTGGCTGGAACGGCAAACATCTGCCAAAGGAGCTCAAACCTTTTCCAGCTGCTGGGACAGTCAGACACTCCTCAGCCTCCTGTGGCTGTACTCAGGCGGTCTCTGCCCTTGCAGCCTTAGAAGAACACACACAGAGAGGGGAAGACTATTTGCATTGAGCATTTAAGCATAGAAGTTCAGAGAAATTCACACCCTGGTGGGAGGTTTCAGGTCACCCTCTTCCCAGTTTGGTTCCTGATTCCTGAAAAGGAGCTGAGCCTGAGAGAAAGGTGCAAGTTGGGCCTGGGAGCTCTGACAACTAAAAACCAAAAAATGTCCTCCTGTTTCATCTTACACTCAATATCTCCACTCATCAAGAACCCTTGAAGTTTAATACAAGAATTCTGTTAATCCCAAAGGTGACACTTAAGTTGCACCTAGGACCTACTTTAAGTGTTTTCCCCTTGACTCTTAGTTAACCACCCTTTTATAAACTGTAACTGCATCTGTAAATACCCAAGATACAGTCAGGCATAATTATGATAAATACACCAATTCATTTCCTAGCCATCTTTTCTCCAAAGGGAGGAGAGGGGTTGGAATGCACTTCTTACATTCTGGTCAAGTGTATTTAATAACTTGTATTTTAGCCACTAAGTTTTGAAATAGTTTCAGACACGTAAAAGCAAAATAGGGAAAGCCTTGTAAATTAATATTCCCCTGGGCTCCAGGGCCATGCCAAAACTGCTTGCTGTCTATGCAGCCCGACCCAGCAGCCTCAAATAACAAGTCAAAGGGGATGTACAAAGAGGCCAGCTTATTTTTAATGATGATATTATTTTACAAAACTGCTCTCATACATGGTAAAGCATTTTTTTAAGAGGCCACAAATGTAATCCACTTGACAAATGAGCTTGGAAAGGATGGAATAGAGCCTTCTAACCTTTCCCAAAAGCCCAGTTCAAATTGGAAACAATAAGACAATGACTCTATCTATAAAGGACTGAGCATTTATACAAAGATGAAAAGGGCCAATAAATCATGTAGATGGGTCTACATTTTGAGAAGCTTGGTATACAGATTAAG